TTTACCCAAAAACCAGGATAGTAAGAATTCCCTTCTCGATCTCTGTTTAACCTCCATCCCCGAGTCTTGACGTACAATACAGCTCTGCCCTCTTGGCAACTCTGATCACGCTGTATTGTCTATTAACATCTCCTTCTACTCCTCCCACTAGCAAAGAACCTCCTACCAACAGAACATCTTTCTGTTATCAACGAGCTGGGACCCTTCGCAATGTCCCATGGAATCTGGTCTTTAACCTTCTCGTTGAAAAATGCGCTTCCGAGGTCTCCATGGTCGAAGCCGGCTTCTAGGCTTTCATCCCTGCAAGAAAATATAGTTTTTCAGCTGCTTGCTCAGCTGTTGTTGTCCATAGGAATCACTTCTTTCGTCTGTACTGTAGCGACATGTCAGATTGAAACAGAAGTCTCTTTGTCTCAGCCCGTAATGAGTGCAAGCGTGTCCTCAATGAAGCAAAGTCATTTGTAGAAAGAATTGCAATACAACGTATTGCATCTGGCAAATTCGACTCTAATGATTATTGACGTCTCATCAAGAGCCTACTAAACAACAGCAAACCCATAATACCTCCTTTATTCAACTTATTTGGGGTCCTGACTTCTTCAGCTGATAAGGCTGAATGCTTTGCTCGGAAATTCTCATCTAATTCAACGCTCGACTCATCTGGTTTACCCACATCCGATTCCCCTTCCCCTAGAACTAAGGCTCTATTGAGTGAGTTGCACATAACACATCTAGGGTCGTCTCTAACTTAGACTCCCATAAGGCTAACGGGGGAGAGGGGATACCAGACATTTTTCTGATGAAATGTGCTCATGAACTGGCTCCTGTCCTTTCTAAACTATACAACTACTGCATCAACGACTCCTGCTTTCCATCCTGTTGGGAGTTCTAATCTGTAGTACCAGTCTTTAAGAACGCTGGAGGCCCTTCTGACCCGTCTAACTACCGTCCTATCAGTCTCCTACCCCTCTTCGGCAAAGTCTTTGAAGCTTTAATCAACGCCGAAGTGGTTAAGCACCTTACATCCCATGATCTGCTCTCTGACAAGCAATATGGTTTCCGCTTTGCCTGATCTACCGCTGATGTGCTCATGGCCTTAACTGAATTTGTTTACCAAGTACTTCACAATAACAGAGAAGCTCAAGCTGTGGCTTTAGATATTTCTAAAGCGTTTGATAGGGTTTGGCATGCCGGCCTTTTTCGTAAGCTCCAGGGATACGGAATTTCAGGACGATTATTTGATTTAATACAATCATTCCTGTCAAACCGTGAAATGAAGCTCGTCGTAAGCGTGTTCTCCTCCAGTTCCTTTCTCACGAACGGATGTGTTCCCAAGTCTCTATCTTGGATTACACTATTTCTGAACTTCCTTAACAATCTTCTTGATGTCATCAGTTTCCCAAGTTGGCATCTATGCAGACGACACTACTATTTACTACTGCCTCAATAGCAAATCTGGTATCGCTGACAAAACTAACCTGGACGTTTGTCTCGAAAAGGACCTCCAATCTGTTGTGGACTGAGGCAGGAAAAGGCTGGTTAACTTTAATGCCTCGAAAACAAAACTGCTCTCTATTACTCACCACAGGGAACCATCCCTGCCTCCCATTAGAATGTCTGCTGCAGACGACACTACTATTTACTCCTGCCTCAATAGCAAATCTGGTATCGCTGACAGAACAAACCTAGCTGTTGGTCTCGAAAAAGGACCTCCAATCTGTGGTTGACTGGACCAAGAAATGGCTGGTATGCCTCTAAAACAAAACTGCTCTCTTTACTTCCTCCCCAAGATTCCTCCCTGTCTCCCATTAGAATGTCTGATGTAGAACTCCACGAGAGTGCCTCTCTGCGCCTGCTAGGTCTCACGCTGTCCGCTGACCTGAGATGGAACAATTACATTGAATCAATAGCTTCATCTACTGCAAGGAAAGTTGGTTCCCTGGGTCGCGCAAGAAAGTTTTTCTCGCCTTAAAACTATAAATCAACAATTTTTTTTAAAGCATTTCACCCCAAGCAAGGCGGGAAGCCACGAGGACGCAAGGGGTTACAGAAAATAGCAAGATCAGATATGAGTGATAGAAGAAAGGATGAGGGTAGTGGATAGATTAAGGCAAATGGAGATGTCGATTGACATTACACTTGAATAGCTGGAGATTATAGCTCCCAGGGAAACAGGAGAAGGGAAGGGAGTTCCACAGACGAGAGGTGCGAGACATGAAGCTATTGGAGTAGAAGAGACGGCTACATTTAGGAGTTTCAACAGTGAAGGGGTGAGAGCGGGATGCCAGCCTCGTAGGGCGCTGGAACTCATGACGTCTGGGAACCAGCGAATGCAGCTCCCCGGAGCAATTTCCATGAAAGTATTTGTAGAACAGACAGAGGGAGGCGACGGCGCGTCTGTGAGAAAGTGACTGTAGACGAGACGCCAGGGCAGGGCAAACCATATTGCATATCCGCCTCTGGAGCCTATCAAGAACCCCGAGGCAGACAGAAGGGGCGCCAGACCATATATGGCAGCAATACTCCATGCAAAGGCGAATTGTGGATTTGTATAGCAGGAGGATTGACTCGGGGAGAAAAATTTCCTAGCGCGGCTCAGGGAGCCAACTTTCCTCGCAGTGGACGAGGCAATTGACTCGATGTATTTGTTCCATCTCAGGTCAGCGGTCAACATGAGACCGAGAAGCCGCAGAGAGTTGCTCTCGAGAAGTTGAGCGTCAGACATTCTAATGGAGGGAAGGGAAGGCTCTCTGTGGTGATTAATAGAGAGCAGTTTTGTCTTCGAAGCGTTGAAGTTGACCATCCAATTCATGCCCAAGTTCACAATCGATTGGAGGTCCTTTTCGAGACGCACGGCAAGGTGAGTTTTGTCAGCGAGACTAGATTTGTTTTTTCCTTCTTGCATGGAATACTGCTGGCATGTATGGTCTGGAGCCCCTGCTGTTCGTCTCAAGGTGCTCGACAAAATCCAGATATCGGATATGTAATATAATTGGTCCTGGCATCTCGTCTACAGTCACGTTCTCACAGTCGTGCCGTCGCTTCCCTCTGTCTTTTCTATAAATAATTTTAGGGTAAATTCTCCGACGCTGCTTGCGCTGGTTCCCAAACTGCACTGAATTTAAGGGTGCCCCTAGGTTGACATCTCGGTCCCACCCTTTCACTGTCGAAACTGTTAAATGTAGCAGTCTCTTCTTCCCCAATCGCATCATGTCATGCATTTCCCATTTGTATAATCTTCAATTATTCAAATGCAATGTCAATCGATATCTTCAGATCCCTTGATCTAATTCATCGTCCTTCTCTTCATCCTTTCCTCAATCACGTCTCCTTACTCTGTAACCCCTTGCGTGCTAGTATCACTCCCGCCTTCCGTAGCGTGATATGCATAAAAAAGAAAGGGCACCTCGAGGTAGTGTAATGGTTAGCAAGCTTGTCTCGCTAGAACAATTACGAATCTATAGTGAGTTCGATCCTCACTGGGTGTCCCTTACTTTCGTCCTTGTACCACATCCAAGCTATTGGAAAATCACTATGCATAAAAAAGAAAAAAAAATCTGCTGATATTTTTATTGATATATAAAACATATATCGTTATCTCATATATATAGATATATATGAAGAAATATAGTTTTATATATGCAGAAATTTAGTTTTAAGGTATGCTATATTTATGGTATAAAGTACTCATTATCAGAGATAGAGCGTGTGTAAATCTAAAAGTGTACATTGAAGTCAACACTCATGATACACGCACGGCCTGATTGCGTCTCGCATGAGACAGTCTCTCGCCTCTTAGTGTTAACTTCAATGTTCAGTTATATATATATATATATATATATATATATATATATATGTAGATATAGTTAGATAGATATATATTTATCGATAGATAAAGCGACATTAAATATTCGCTATAGTTATGAATAAAGAATGCACAGTATCGAAGATTGGATCATTTAGAGCAGATATAAACAGTAACGACATAGGAATAAACTTCGAAGTGACCCTCATTTCCACGCCATAATACGATCTCCGTGCCAAGAGTGCATTTAGTCTTGAAAGACACTCTCATCATACCGTGTTGATTCCTATGTCACTCTGTCGTCTATACAGATAAATGCACTTTCCTATTAAATAGAGCAAAATTTAAGCAACACACACACACACACACACACACATATATATATATATATATATATATTGGTAAAACACGTGCATTCGTCTCTTTCCAAGTCTACCGGAATAATCATAAATATTGCTATCTTTTGTAAGTGTGTAAAAAATATACAGTGTAACCCGGATATAAGAGAGTTGTCGGGACCGGAGAAGAAGTCTCTTAAATCCGGGTTTCTCTTATATCCGGGTTTGGTCTATTATATATACATTAACACAGGCTCTAATTTGGGACGAGAGAAAATCTCTCTTATATCCGGGTTTCTCTTATATCCGGGTCTCTTATATCCGGGTTACACTGTAGTTTGCCTATTTGGGATTCAAATGATAATGTATGTTTTTAAGTGTGCGGGTGACGTTAGGTTTGTTGGGTTTTCACACGTTAATTTGGGAACATTTTTACGTACATATCGTTTGTTTTAGAAACAAATACATTAGATTTTCTTAAGTACAGATTAAATACTGATTGGCGATATAATATAATGTTACTGACGTGTGTTTATAGTTGGTAATATTGTTATTAGCAGACTCTCGAAGTACTTTCTCTGTAAAGGTATATGTTCTTTTTTAATTAGGGTGACATTAGTAAAATCAAAATTATGTTCAATTTTGCTTGTGTATTACAAAGAGTTTGAATGGTTGTCTAAACGTAAGTCCCTCTTGTGTTCGTAAATATGAGCATTTAGATCATGTGATGTCCCCCCGATATAAAGTTTTTTACATTGTAAACAATTTATTTAATAAGTAACGGCATTGAATATGTGTTGAATTTATTTTTCTTCCTTATTATATTTCCGATTGTCTTGCATTTAAAAAGATTCTAGAATTATTGATTACTAATTGATCTTCAAGTTTATTAAAAGGAAGGTTAGAGGGTGTGATTATGAATTTTGTGATGTTGTTAGAGCTCCGATTTGTACTGTCTAGTTTTTGGATTTGTGGATTTTGTAAGATCATTTTTTGGGGGAATAAAAAAAAAAAAGGAAAAAAAAGGGTAATTTACTGTCTCCAAGGTGTCTTGCTTATTACTAACAAAAAATATCCCCACCCTTAAAATATATTTTCTCGAAGTTTTATGAAATTAAGTAAGTAGGTGGTAACACGTGTAAGAAAAATATTTTTTACCAAGATTTAAAAAAAACAAATGTCAAAAAATTTAGCATTCATTTCGGATTATGTCCTGAAAATTTCATTAAAATCCCACAATCATTTGATTTTTGAAAGAATTTCTAAATCAATGTGTTTTTTAGCGGAAAAAACGAAAAAATAAAAAAAAAATAATCTTTATCTTTGGTCCGCCGTTGACGTAAAAAAAAAACAAAAAACAAAACAAACAAAAAAAAAACAAGATTTTTAACCAAAATTTCGAATGTGCTACAAAGAAGTAAAAAATTTCCCAATATAAAAAAAATACTTTGGTCTTTCCTCTTAATAATAACATAAACATTTTAATGACAAAGCTTTGTTCTTATTGACTTTGGGGATTTTTTCATCATACGATGCTGTTTTTTATGCAACCAAGCGGAGGTATCTAATTAAAACTGATCCACGAAAAGAGCTGTATGTCGGTATACCAGGGTTGAATAAGAATGACGTACTTCTCGTCAGTTGAAATAGGTTTATACCCCATTTGAGGTAATTTTGAATTTTATGGTTTACTATGATATATATATATATATATATATATATATATATATATATATATATATATATATATATATATTTCTGAGATTCGGTATTTTGTAAACTATTTAGATTATTCGGGCTATTGTCCTCATCTTCGTCGTCATATTTATTACAACGTTTCGGCCGTTGTACGCTCCGGCCTTCTTCAGGTGGTTGGAATGTCGAACCAAACCCTTTATTTCGCTCACTGGGGTAGAATGTTCTAGTTCCACGTGCCATGTTTAATGGATGTCAGTTATCAGTTATCTCCTGTTAATTCCGCTCTCCAAGTTCTTGCTGCCTTAACCGGGTATTGAACTCACACTCTTTGGGTCCTCTCACTGGATCTAGCTAACGCCATTATCCACTCTGCCATGTTTCAGTTATTGAACTCACACTCTTTGGACCCTGTCACTTTATCTAACGACCGCCATTATCCACTGTGGTATGTGCCCTTATTAGTTATAATAAGTATGATTTATTAACCAGAGAGGTTTAAGCTTTTTTTGACGGTATTAATTACGTATATCATGTTTTCTGTTTGCAAATGGATATTTATGAGAATTTATTAATATTTTCCACCACAGCTGCAGGTTCTCCTAATTCGCTAGCAATGCGCAGTGTCATTAATGTTTTTTGGTACCACTGCACAACGAATGAAGACAACAGTAACAAAAATCAAGCCTGGGATTTTCTGTGGGAATCTCGTCCCAGTGAATCCACTTCTTCCGCGCCAAGTTGTACAGTCTTCGACTCAGTGAAAACCAGGAAAGAATTAACTGATCTGTACTAAAACAAAACGAGATCTCCCTGACATGGACAGCAGAACGAGAACCAATCGCCCCTGTAGATTAATTAAAATTTTCGGTTCAAAATTCCCCTAATCAGACACCTGATGAAGGCCGGAAGTCACAATTGCCGAAAGGTGTTAATAATAGCAATAAAGATGGAGGCGTTAGAATATAATATCAATAATGTAATTAAATGTATAACTGAATCAATTCCCATTAATTTAAAAGTGGATGACGATACCTATTGCAAATCTGTATGTCTGCCTCTCTTCATATATTTTTCGAAAATAGAAAACCACGGCTCTCCACAGCTTCCTATCTTGTATTACTTTCAGGAATATCTAATCGTTTATTAATTTTACTTGTCTTTCATGCATTAGCTCAATATTATCACAGATTATGGTCACATCACTTTGAAACTCCGGTTACCGTAATAGCAGCGAAGTTAAGCAACGTCGAGACTGGTCGGAACCTAGATAGGTGACCACTTGGGAATACCAGGTGCTGTAAGCTTGGATGTGCGGGTGAGATAATGACTTGGAATTGTTAATCAGAGAGTCGAGTTCCCGTACGATCACCGAAGTTAAGCAACATCGTGCCTGATCAGTACCTAGATGGGTAACTGCTTGGGAATACCAGGTGCTGTAAGCTTGGATGTGCGGGTGGTGTAATGGATAATGACTCGGAATTCTTAATCAGAGAGTCGAGTTCCCGTACGATCACCGAAGTTAAGCAACATCGTGCCTGATCAGTACCTAGATGGGTAACCGCTTGGGAATTCCAGGTGCTGTAAGCTTGGATGTGCGGGTGGTGTAATGTATAATGATTCGGAATTGTTAATCGCAGAACTGAGTTCCAATTCCAGTTTGGTTCCTTATATTCATTTACACGAATACATTTATTCTCCCCTCTATCTTTGGGTTTATTAGTAAGATTTCTTTCACTAAATAATTATTATCTCTAAAAAAAAAAAGTATTGTTATCATCTAAAAATATTTTCTGGCTTTAAATAACCTGCAATGGGTTGATAAGCCGTAACAAACGAATCAATCAATATTATCATGTAGGCTACTCGCTTTCTTCGTCTTCTCTTCGACGCAATATGTCCTCCAAGATTCCTTGCTTCATTGTTTGCCCCAAACTTTTCATTTAGTCATGGTGATTGCTAGCAAAACTTTCTTTGTTATTCTTGTTCACCTTATAACTTCCGCATTTGCAGCATGCTTTGTCCATGGTATTCTGAGCATTTTTGGTAGAACCATGTCTTTCACTGTTTCGTTTCAAATACATAAATTATTTTCTATTTTTTTCAGAGCCAAGTACATGATGAGAATATCAGTTATATATATTATGCCTCTTGATTCCCTGGGGAACAGAGGGCCACAACAACACATTCCCAACAGATGCGGTTTTGGGAGATCACCTTCAGCTCGGCCCATGTCGTATTGGCTGTCTTTACGTCTGCGTCAACTCTTCTGCGCCAAGTCTGTTTTGGTCGAACCACTTTTTGCTTTCCTTGTGGATTCCAGTCAAGAGCCTGCCTGGTGACACTAGAATCAGGCTTGCGGAGTGTGTGGCCGATCCATTCCTATTTCCTTTACCGGATGTCAATCTCGATTGGGTCTTGTCTGGTCATGTATCACAGTTGGTCCTTGGAGACGACTTCCTTTGTGGATTCCAGTCAAGGTCTTGCCTGGTGAAACTAGAAGCAGACTTGAGGAGTGTGTGGCCGATTATTTCTGTTTCTTGATATCAATTTCTATTGGGGCTGTCCCAAAGTTGGTCGCTGGAGACGACTTCCGGTCACCTGATATTAAGGATGTTCCTGAGACATCGGTTGGTAAATATCTGAAGTTTGAGAGTGTTGGTTTTGGTTACCCGCCAGATTTCTGAACCGTAAATTAGGGCCGGCTTGACTTTGAGGTTGAAGATCCGGATCTTGTTGTAAAGTGATACGGCTGTTGATCCCCAGATTGGCCAGAGTGTTGAAAGCGTGTCGGGCTTCGTTGATTCGACACTTGATGTCTTCTGTTCGTCCCCCGTCTTTATTGACGACGCTTCCCAGGTAGATAAACTTATCGACTTCCTTGATGTCTTCTTGGTGTAGTTGCTATGGGTTTTGTTTTCTGTTGTTTATGAGTTACTCAAAAAATATTAGTATTCGGGTATAATTGGGTAATTAATGCGTGTCTAGGTACCAAATTCTATCGGCCCAACACCATCACCTTTCTATCTAGTTATTCAGAAATAAATACAGATTTTAAAACATTTTAACTGACATATCTCAGTTGGGAATATACTTTATCAATCAAAATAAAAAAACAATAGAATATTCACGTATCTGCCAAGAAGATACAAGTTTATTTGACCCGTTCAGGGGGCGTATTCAACGAAAAATTGAAAATTACTTTTTTCCATGCAAAGTATTCATTATATAATATCCAAGTATCTTATAAAAAAAAAAGAAAAAAAGAGAGAGCTGATTACACAATATTTCAAACACAATTTAAATTTATCTTTCGTAACCATGCAATGAGATGAGGTAACATAAACCGTTGATTTGTCTGCAGAATATCATTACATTATTGTTACATAATTATAGTGAAATCATTAAGGTTTTTTGTGAAAAGCATTTTATTTTTGGTCGTATATTGATTTAAAATATTCCTTTTTACAGGCTTTATTTGTGAAATGGAATAAAATCATTCTAAATTTCAGAATTTCGTTATTGCCCATCAAAATGACCGGAAGAAAGCGATTTAAAAACAACAATGGAAATGAGAGGTAACAAAGCGTAAACGAAATAGCTTCAGTTTCTTCAACTTAGAAAACTTAGCATCGCAGCCAAAGTATTCTAAAATGCCGCCAATAACAAGGGACAAAGTGAAACCAAAAAATCGAATATAGCATTAAAATTAATTTATTTCTATTTATTTGGTACGTAACTAAATGCATAATTGTCACCAATGTTTCTGTAAAATTTGATATTTCCTGTCATAAAATCTTAAATCTTCTTCTTCTCATTATTATTATTATTATTATTATTATTATTATTATTATTATTATTTTTTACTTAAGTGAAAGGTAGTCCTACATTTACAATTACTTACGGCTAACCATGAGAAGAAATGTTGATCAAAACTGCCTAAAACCTTTAAGCGCGTATTGCCACAAAACTATCAAATGTTGAATACGGCGAATGCGCCATTTCTTCCGATAACGTAGAATTCTAAAGCTCTGGAGGCAACGAATTCTTCGAAGCAATTTTTGCAGCTGTTTGGTTGTTGAGGGCTTTTTCTTGCAAGTATTTCTCGGAAGTGATGAAAAAGTTTTCCTCGGTTAGCGAAAGGTTTGGTGTGTTTGCAAATACTTGTAACCCAAGTCGTTCAACTTTTGGAGCGTTAGTTGAGCGACATGTGGTTGAGAAGTGTCGTGAAAACTGATTGAACATTCTTCTATTGAACACTGGGGTCATTTTTCTGATACATTTCGTCGATTTTATGTCACAGCTGTGATTGGCTAGACCGGATTAATTAATCCGTAATTGATTCATCCGATTAACAACCAGAAGACACCTTAACCCTCTTTTAATGTGACTTCATCTTTGGAAATGTTTTTAGTTGCTTCATCTCGGTCCACCCAATGTGCTGAATATGGTCAGTTGTTGTATAGGAACCACTTTTCATTGCACGCCATAATACGAGTAAGAGTTGATTTTTCTGCGCAGAAGCGGACGCCATAATGGCAAATTTACTGGTTTTCATTCAATTCTACGGCACCAAATTTTCAAGATTCTTCGACATTCCATTCCTTAAATCTAGCTCTCCATTAAGCTCTTGAAAGTCTTAACGAAGACTTGCTTCCACCAAATCCTTCATCGTCACCCGTGGCAGAAAGACGCACATGACCATCCTTAACTTCAAGAGGAAACTAACCCTGATGAATTATTTTTATACCAAAGATGCACTATGCCTTCGTTAACGCTTATTTCGTCACTCTTTTTACATTATATGGACTATTGTCCTCATCTTTGTCGCTTTATTTATTACAACGTTTCGCCTGTTGAACGCTCCGGCCTTCTTCAAGTGGTTGGAATGTCGAAATTAACCCTTTATTTCACTCACTAGGGTAGACTGTTCTAGTTCCACGTGCCAGGTTTAATGGATGCCAGTTATCTCTCTTGGTTTCTATCTATCTATCTATCTATCTATCTATCTATCTATCTATCTATCTCAGTATATATTGGTTTGGTTTGGTTTGTTTTACGGCATATCAACCTCAATGGGTTATTTAATACCGACAAGATTTTTATTGCTGGTAATATTTTTTATCTATCTATCTATCTATCTATCTATCTATCTATCTATCTATCTATTTCAGTATATATTGGTTTGGTTTGGTTTGTTTTACGGCATATCAACCTCAATGGGTTATTTAATACCGACAAGAATTTTATTGCTGGTAATATTTTTTTTTTCAAAAATGTATTGCTGCTAATAATTTTTTTCGCAAAATGTATTGCTGGAAATATATTTTTCAAAAATGTGTTCCTGCTAATATTTTTTCCCAAATATCTATTGCTGGCAATATTTTTTCTTCAAAAATTTATTGCTGTTATTAAAAACTATTTTTATACTTTCATAGTGTTTCAACCCCAATTTGGCTGTTAACTATTTGCCCAAGAATTTTATTGCTGCCACCCCAGATCATATTTTTTTCAAAAATGTATTGTTCCACGCTCAAACCCTCTTTTTTCTTGCAAATGTATTTATCGTCTTACCGGGACGCAATATATTTTCGTCTAAAAGCAGATGTTTATCGTCTTACCCGGGTCGCGGATGTTTTTCGTCTAACACGGGACGCGGATGGCAATATCGTCTTAAAAATTTATTTATCCTCTTATTAAAAGCAGATTTTTATCGTCTTTCCCGGGACGCAGGTTTTTTATCGTCTTACCCGGGTCGCGGATGTTAACTTATCGTCTTACCCGGGACGCGGATGTAGTTTATCCTCTTACCCGGGACGCAGATGCTAGTTTATCGTCTTACCCAGGAAGCAGATGTAGTTTATCGTCTTACCCAGGTCGCGGATGTAATCGTCTTACCCGGGAATTGGATGAGTTTTTCGTCTTACGGTCCTCAAACCCGCGGATTAGTTTAGGTCTTATCCAGGGGCGTCGATATAGTTTATCGTCTTACGAGGATATAGTTTATCGTCAGACCCAGGACGCGGATTATCGTCTTACCTGGAAACGGATGTAGTTTATCGTCTTACCCGGGAATCAGATGTAGTTTATCGTCTTACCCGGGTCGCGGATGTAGTTTATCGTCTAACACGGGACGCGGATGTAGTTTATCGTCTTACCCGGGTTGTGGATGTAGTTTATCCTCTTACCCGGGAAGCAGATGTAGTTTATCGTCTTACCCGGGACGCAGGTGTATTTTATCGTCTTACCCGGGTCGCGGATGTAGTTTATTGTCTTACCCGGGACGCGGATGTAGTTTATCCTCTTACCCGGGACGCAGATGTAGTTTATCGTCTTACCCAGGTCGCAGATGTAGTTTATCGTCTTACCCGGGACGTGGATGTAGTTTATCGTCTTACCCGGGTCGCGGATGTGGCTTATCCTTTTACCCGCGGATGTAGTTTATCGTCTTATCCAGGGCGTCGATATAGTTTATTGTCTTACCTAGGACGAGGATATAGTTTATCGTCAGACCCAGGACGCGGATGTGGCTTATCGTCTTACCCAGGACGCGGATGTGGCTTATTGTCTTACCCAAGACGCGGATGTAGCTTATCGTCAGATCCAGGATGGCCTGTGTAACTCAAAGAAATATCTATTTCCTTACTACCAATACCAGTCTCTAGTTATGCCATCCATTTACAGAATATGGTTATGAAAATTACTCTGTTTCTATCTGCACAATTTGCCTTTATTGTGGCCTTGGGGTATCAAATTCTCAAAGTTTTTTCCGCATTATGGTTTCCAGAAATTTCAACAAATGACTTTATGTATTAGTGTCCATTTTGTATTGTTTCCCTTAAAACATGTTTTCTTTGAATATTTGTGATGATATTATCCAGCAACCATTGTTATGAAGAAGAATTTATAATACATAAGTGATGAGGACTCTTGTTTCGAACTCCGCTATTGTGTTTCTTAATAATTTTTTCCAATATTTCCCTTCTATCAATATGGCCGATGCTAACGTACAGAAGAGAAACTCGTTGCTCTTTCTCGGTCTCACATTGACATGAAGTGGAATGATTATAATGAATCGATTGTTAGGTCTGCTATTACAAACAAATCGGTGCCCACTACCATTCGTCCGTCCACTAAATAATGTTGCCATATCTGGTCTGGTGCTTCGGCTATACAAGTATCGGCCGGACAGCTCATAGGCTGACAAAGATATAACACTAATGTGTATGTCCTAATCCTCATATATACGTTGGACACTATTGTAAGCGGGGGTAATATGCTGTCGAAGCTGGAAACGTGAGCTGTCAGCGTGGGAAGCTCTTGCCGTGTAAAACTCTCTGTCTTCTGACGGAGATGAACCCGGACAAGGCTATGCTGAAAGGCAGAGTCTCGTCCGAGGAGGAACATAGATACCTGATCCCGCGAATTTGGGGTCTATGGGAAATTTTTACCCGAGCTCACGTGCTCGGATTTCCTCACATTACATTTGGCCTTGTGCCACATCCTACCTCGTGGGGAGGCGGGTAAATATCGTAATATGCTGTCTTAGTAGTCCGACACTAGCAGAGGTTTACCTATTTCACGTTGCTGGCGATTATTGCATTTTGTTGATGTTATAAAGAATACTATTCCATTTTGGTTTGTTTTGGTTATTCCTCATTCAGTAACCTTTTTTGGGTTACAAGAAAATGTAAGTCGACATACCAATTGGTAGAGTAAAAGAGCGTGAAAATGTACCGGAATACAGCAGTTGACCTTCGTATAGCTAGAGATTCTTGACATTCTTGAATCATTATTTGCATTTTCCTAAGGTGCTGAGATAGATAGATAGATAGATAGAGAGAGAGAGAGAGAGAGAGAGAGAGAGAGAGAGAGAGAGAGAGAGAGAGAGAGAAGAATGGTGATGCAACAAAGAGAAAAAGTAATTAAGAAAGAAGTAAAGAAAGCGTGAGAAGACTAAATAAAGGGAGAGGAAAATAAAAATAGAAAGAAAGGAGAAAAGAAAGACACAAAGAAAGGGAGAGAAAAATAAAGAGAAAAAGAAAAGAATGAAATTGAAAAAAAGAAAGAAATAGAAAAAGAAAGAGGCAACGAAAGGAAGAGAAAGACGAAGAGAAAATGAAAGAACGAAAAAAAGAGAAAAAGAAATAAATAGGAAAAGAAAGAAAGAGAAAAAGAAAGAAAGCGAAAAAGAAAGAAAGAGAAAAAGAAAGAAAGAGACAAAGAAAGGCTGAAAAAAGAAAGAAAGCGAAAAAGAAAGAAAGCGAAAAAGAAAGAAAGAGAAAAAGAAAGAAAGCGAAAAAGAAAGAAAGAGACAATGAAAGAAAAAGATAAAGAAAGGATGAGAAAAAGAAATAAAGTGAGAGAAAAGAAAGAGAAAATAATTAAAAGGAGAGAAAAAAAACGAGATAGAAAATGAAAGATAAAAAGACAGAAAGAAAGTGAAAATAAAAGAATGCAAAGAAAAAGAAAAAAGGAAGAAATAACGAAAGAAAGAGAAGAATAAAGAAAAAGATAAAGAAAAAAGAAAGAAAGAAAAAAAGCAAGAATGAAAGTGAAAAAAAAGAAAGAAAGAAAGAAATGTGGTAAATAATCTGGGCAGACTATAATTGAAATTCAACTTTGCGAATCTAAAGTGAATGTCTTGGTAGCAGTTTTATGGCTCGGATTACATGATTGCTTGTACTACTCACCAAATTATTTTAGCTTTCACTATTCGTCGGACGAAGAGAATTAATTTTGGTAAAACGACCTACCGAGTTGCCGGCTAATCTAAAGTTAATACGACCCTTTGCTTATGGCCTGAAGCCGGTTTTAATGCGAAGAAAAGTTAATTCAATTGTCGAGCTCCATTGTGCACAAAAAGAAATCTCGTCACAGTATAATGTCTGTTGCTTCTTTATTAGAACTAACCTGACCGTATTGCATTTCGGGTAACAAATTCTACTTGAAAGACGATGTCAGAAGGAGAGAAGAGTCTCTGATTTAACTTGATGGGAAAAGTAAATCGAACACTGCGAAATAAAAAAAGAAAGGCATTTAAAAGATTTTATTACGGAGTATGATTTGTTTTTACGGTTTATTAAGCTTTTGCAGGTTATTTAACACCAGAAATATTAAAAAATGAGATTTTTCTGAGATAATAACGAATTGCTGATACAAGTCCTATTAATTGACCCATAGCTGGAGGAGAAGATATTGTAAGATTGGATGTGCGGCTGGTGTAATGAATAAGAGCTCGGAGTTGTAAACCGGAGAGCTCAGTGCGACGCTGAGATCCGTAGACGTATTGGTATGGCCAAGGACGCATTACAAAATCTGGGCAGAGTATTGCAAGACAGGAGGATTTCTTTGGTAACAAAGAAAAGAATACTGACCTCTTATGTGACATTTGTCCTTCTTTATGGCAGCGAATGTTGGACGATTTCCTCAAAAATGAAGAAGAGACTCGAAGCAAAGGAGATGTGGTTCTACAGAAGGATGCTGAGGATATCATGGACAGAGCGTGCTAGTTTTAGAGGTTACAAACAAGGAGGAGGCTTATACTTAACATCAAGAAGAAGCAGATGAAGTTTCTGGGACACATAACGAGGAAAGAAAGCCTGGAGAATCTGATACTCACGGGTCGAATAGAGGGAAAGAGAGACAAAGGAAAATGACGCGTGACATACATGGCGGGTTTAAGCAAATGGTCTGGGGGAGGAAGTAGAGTGAAGGAACTTGTTGAGAGCTGCAAGTAATAGAGGGAGGTGGAGAGCCATGATCGCCTACGTCCTGAAAGGACATGGCATATAAAAAGAAAGAAAGAGTTCCAATTCAAATCTGGTTCGTTATATTCACTTATGTGCAAATGCCCTTAGGAAAGTTACCATATATATATATATATATATATATATATATATATATATATATATATATATATATATATACACGACGTATGAGGGTCAAGCAGATCCGACATCAGCACTTGATATTTGATTATAGTGGTGAAGGTTTCGTGCAGGACCATCCACACTTTTTTAAGGGCCGAATACAGAGTGCCACAAGGTCCCCAAACGACCCTCCGCAGGTTTTGAATTCAGAGTTGTCCTTCTCCTAGACCAGTTGCCATCCAAGGCTATAGAACCCAGTCTGTCCTGCTATTTACCCATAGCTGGAGGAGAAGAGTATTCACACCTTTCCGAAGGGCACGTAAGTGAATGTAATGGATCCGACTGGAATTTGAACTCGGCTCTCCGATTCTTCAAACCAAGGCGCTATCCATTACGTCACCGTGCCTCCTCAAATGTGTATATATTTGATATAAATATGAGAATATATATCTGAATATAATATTATCTTATATATATATATATATATATATATATATATATATATATATATATATATATATATATATATAACCAACTAGAATTGGAACTCAGCTCTCCGATTTACAACTCTGACCCTTTATTCATTACACCAGCCGCACATCCAATCTTACGACACCAGTAATTTATAAGGGATCACCCATCTAGGCACTGACCAGACTTGATATTGCTTAACTTCAGTGATCGTACCAGAACCGGTGTTTCAACGTGATGCGGTCGCGAGCGTTTATTACGGAGAAGTACCTCACTCCGTCCGCGATGGTTTTTCGTTTCAAGTGATGACGTACTGCCGATATATTTGACGCAATTCAGTCTTCAATTTCCAAGTTTGATAATGTTTACTCTGACTTGCAATGAAAAGATAATTCTTCACTTTGCAGCCTCTTTCCCACAGATGCAACATTGCAACCCTGTCGCTATATCTCATGGCTAACGTTCAGGTAGGTTTCATTCTTTAGTTGCCCCAGGTTTGGCTTGTTTTGTCTTACGGCATATCAACCTATCTATCTAACTGTCTATCTATCTTGGTCTCTTCATGTCTGTCTCACTTGGTCTCATCATATCTATCTATCTATCTATCTATCTATCTATCTATCTATCTATCTATCTATCTATCTATTGATTTGGTTTGTTTTGTTTTACGGCATATCAACCCCCGTGAATTATTTAATGCCGACAAGATTTTTATTGTCTGTAATATTTTTTTATCTATCTATCTATCTATCTATCTATCTATCTATCTATCTATTGATTTGGTTTGTTTTGTTTTATCTATCAACCCCGTATCTATCTATCTATCTATCTATCTATCTATCTATCTATCTATCTATCTATTGATTTGGTTTGTTTTGTTTTACGGCATATCAACCTCCGTGAATTATTTAATGCCGACAAAATTTTTATTGCTGGTAATATTTTTTTTCAAAAAATATATTGCTGGTATAAAATTTTTCAAAAATAAGTATTGCTGGTATTAAAACCTATTTTTATTCTTTCAAAGTGTTTAACCCCTTTTAGAGGAGTTAAGTATTTACCTATAGCGGGTCCCCAACAGGAGCCACCACTCTGGGTCAGGGAGGACTTTAGAACATCAGCAATTAAGGTGTGGTCCCACGTTCCTCAAAACCTCCAGATCAAAGATCTTGCTGTCGGATGTAGCTTATCGTCATACCCAGGACTGTTTAGTTTCCCCAGTTCAGACCTTTACAACTAGGAGATGCCATACTATTTCCATTTCGTTCGTGTTCTGGATAATGAAGGCATCACTCCGACGGCTTTTTTCTAATAACTGCTACTTTGTGGAAGAAACTCCTGCGGGGTTGTTTTCCTAAACAATGCAATCTTAAACTCCAATGGATAATCTTTATCATCCTTATTCCACTAAACTTCTCTTCCTACAACTTCCTCTTTCATTCATATCGCATTACCTCTACCTTGAGTTACTCTTTAGCCTGGGATTTAAAACTTGTAGTTTTATTACTTTTAATTTCTCACTTTTTTCAAATATTTTTGAGAATTTCGCCCTCATAGGGCATATCGGCGGCAAGAGGTCACGAGGAAGGCATCCACCTAGCTGACGTGTTTGTGTGAATAGACATTGGGGGAGGTGGCGAGATGCTTCCACAAAAGACAAACCTTGCTAAAAGCTGCAATGGGTAGCCATGATCGCCCAATTCCTGGTTGATAAAAGCGCATAGAAAAAAAAAAAGAGAAATTATCTAATCGAATGCTCGAGAGCCTCTAAAGATAGAGTGTTATAGTAAAAAAAAAAGGTAACGCCAAATGAGGTGTGTAGTATGAATAGGAGAGGGGTGGTATGTAATGAATATAACGAGAAAGATAAGGATTGACCTTTTGACCTGAAGTGTTGCTTGTTTCGGCAATCAGTTGGAGATTCGTCTCCAGCGAAGCTAGTCGAACTCTCTGCCTTTGGAACCCAGACGAGGCTATGCCGAAGGGCTGAGACTCGTCTGGGGAGGTAGACAGCTACCCAAATCCGTTTTTACGAGGTCTACGGGGAAATTTTGCCCGAGCCCACGTGCTCGGTATTAAACCTAAATTAAAAACGGCCTTATGCCACATCTTGCTTTGCGGGGAATTCAGGTAAATAACCTTTGACCTGATGAGGTGAATGTTGGAGGAAGCAACCACGCGAAAGTGGCAATTCTTGGAAAAAAAAAAGAAGCTGAATGGTTTTGGAACCTGAAGGAAATGAGGACGATTCGACTCCGTGGAAGTGGCAAGACGTCCTAGCTGTAACGGTCTGAACTAGGGAAGCTAAAGAATTGAGCTCTGTAGATAGACTCCCAAGTATTCCGAAACTGACAGATGCCTAATCGATTAAAAAATAAGTCAGCAGAAATCGAGAATTTATAAATTCGATTTATATCTGCTGAGCGTCAAACAGGGTAACGACTCTGAAATTCAGGCTTGATAAATAGACATGTAAAAATGTCGTTTGAGGGTTAAAGTTGAAGTAAACAGAAAATTAAAACATAGTTTGAGAAAAATTCAACTCTGCCCACAGGTGGGCATGAACCCTGGACCAGAAATTGGAAGAAAGAAATGAGACGGTATGTTGATAGCTAATAAAGTCAGATTAATATATTTTTGAAGTACTCTTGAAAATAATTTTTAAGTTTGCAGACAGCGTTTGGTTCACTTGTCAAAGGACTTTTCTTCTCTCAAGCTGACCACCAGTACTCGACCGTAACCAGCAACCACAAGCAATGACTAATAATAAAAAAAAAAATCAATAAAAGTCAATAATCAATAAAATAAAATATTTTATTGATTTTCTACAGGGACATAATGAAAGAATTAGGATTCAACTACTGATCATTGTCGTCAACAAGCAAGAGAACAAGGAAAGCCTTACTATTTGTTCAAGGGTAGCGAGACAGAGAAATCTACCGGCCTTGTTGTTACTTGTTTCCGGTCATGACATAGTCGGTTGGTGTTGACGAACTTCCTCGATCCACACGGCTATATCTGGTGCAGCAAACCAACCAGTTCTTATTGAGTACCATGACATGGAGCTGACCACACCCCAGCAAACGAATATATATATATATATATATATATATATATATATATATATATATATATATATATATCGATGAGAACGAAAGTAATATATAAATTCTAACGTTCACAGCATTAATCCAAAAGAGAGATCGATAGTACTGCGATGATTATTTAGTATAATGTTATCATATAGACTGTTTTTTTCTATATGATAAAATTATATATATATATATATATATATATATATATATATATATATATATATATATATATATATAAAAAAGGCTTAAACACTAATATTAGTGTTTAAGCCTTTTTATTAAACACTAATATTAGTGTTTAAGCCTTTTATTATATCCTTTACTCTGTCTTAGACATTGAGTTCTACCTGGATCCTTCCTCTTGGAAAAATTTTTTCTGAAAATATACATGTATGGGAATTTTTTAGATATATTTTTTCATATGTATGTATATTTTCCACTAATATTATCATATATATATATATATATATATATATATATATATATATATATATATATATATATATAGTTTTAAAGTATGCTATATTTATGGGATAAAGTGCTCTATATCAGAGATAGAGGCGCGTGCAATTATTAGGTTGGTGCAAGAATGTCGTTTTTTGACGTTCAACTTAACGTCAAAAACGACATTATTTTTGCACCAACCTAATATAAAAGTAAACATTGAAGTCAACACTCAGAGGCGACAGACTGTTTCATGCTGACCGCAATCAGGCCCGTCGCCTCTGAGTGTTGACTTCAATGTTAACTTTTTTCTTTAGTATTGAAGCTTTCCCTTTTTTTTTGTCCGAGCACTTTTGATCACTCTTTTTAAAGGTGCTCATAGTTTTCTCTAATATATATATATATATATATATATATATATATAAATTCATGAATCCTTCATACAAAAAACAAATATAGAGGTTAATGATTTAAATGGCGAGAATACATCGTCGCAAACAATATAAATAAGATACATCAACCCCGAACCTGTATATGAATGATATGATCCCTGTTTATAAAGTCCAGTTTAAATTATTAACATATATATTTGTTTTTTGTATGAAAGATTCATGAATTTATAAATTATAATTGCACCTTTTAATTGAAATTAAAATAACTGAACCAACGTGCAACTCTCGGATAATAAGTGTGACATTACTGTAATTATTGAACAGTATAGTTCATGCCATATTCACGGAAAATCTACCAGTATAAAAGAATTAATTTATTGCTATATTTGTACAAAAACGCACAACCTTAACATTTAAATTCAAACTCAGCGTTGCGACCGCACTTTCCAAAACAATAACACATTTCTCATAGCATTTTTTCGGATTACATCTCTATTTTAGTTGTCCTCTTATTACTTAGAAGTAAAAACAAGAACAAAATCTACTTCCATACCTGATGATGTCTGTAGGAACAGACGAAAGCCTGTAAAAAATTAAAAAGACCTTATGCAACTGGAATTTATAAACGGGGATCATATCATTCGTGTACAGGTTCGGGGTTGGTGTATCTTATATTGTTTGCGACGATGTATTCTCGCCATTTAAATCATTAACCTCTATATTTGTTTTTTGTATGAATGATTTATGAATTTATAAATTATAATTGCACCTTTTTAATTGAAATATATATATATATATATATATATATATATATATATATATATATATATATATATATATATAAAAAAGCTCATTAGTGTGGTATACGTCTAGTTGTCTCTAGCTGGGATTGAAACCTAACTGAATTGGCGTCAGTCGGGGGATTCTATCCCTAAGCCGTTGGCGCACGGGCAGGGATGTAGGTGAATTTAAGCGTATTTATTTTTAGATAAACACTCAGTGACTGATGATGCCGTATCACCTTATCAAGTCGACCCGGGACGCATACGACACGAGGAAAAGAACCCATAGCCAACGGGTGTTGTTATTTAATCATAAATTTTAGCATTTGTTATGAAATACGTTTCATTTTGTTGGGTTTTCTTAGCCTTGACTACGAAACAAATAACATCTATTGTACGGAGAGTGAAATCAAAAGAAGTCCGCGACACTAAGACTAACGATAAATAAAATCAGTCAAATGAGTCAGAGTTTGCTACTGTAAATGACTATTTATTTTTAATAGCATTAAAATAGAAGCAAAATTGTATTTCTGTTCATGAACGGCAAAGATACGCTAAGAAATTCTCCTGGATGCAGCTCGTCATAGAAGAAAAAATACTGCGAACACAAATAGATTATAGAGATTCTCTTCTCTATTGATAATTCATTTTGATATCCAGTTTCGAGGGCAATATTATTCTTCAAGTTAAAAAACAGTTCATATATAGTGGGTTATCGATTAAAGTGAAGTGTATGAGTCTGGAAACAGATTAGTTTGATTTGGCCTTGTTAATTAGATAGCCCTCCATAAGAGGGGTATAAGGCAAGAAAATCAAATTGTAAAGTGAACAATTTTATATACATATAAATCAATTAAGGTCTTTACAAATAGAATTAATGTATTTTGGTTGATACAAGGTCGTCAAAATGTTCGTAGTAGTCCTTGCAAGAATGAGTTTATGTGTAAGAACTCAGGGACGTATGTATGTATGTATGTATGAGCGATATCGAAGGGTAGAAATGTCTTTGAAGTAATCGCTCAGTCTTAAAATGTTCCGTTCGTTTATCAAGTATAAAAGAGGTGAGGGAGCAAGGTAGAGATAATAATAACGATCGCTTGACGTTTGTCAAGGGAGGTGTTAATACGCTCGTCTCCTTTTCTCTGGTGCCAGGCGAACTTGTCCGTCGTTTATTTTGTTTGTGAGGCTTGAAAAGGTCATTTGGGAATTCACTCCCGGATATGATTCATTACCGGATATGATATAAGAATTGAAGATTATTTGAATTTTGTTTTTAAATGTTTCCTAGTTTTCTATTAGCTGAAAAACATTTCGCATCAAGGTGTGAAATTTCACGAGTTTTGTTTTGGATTCGCTTTTGCGTCTGTGTTAAGCAAAGTTTGTAAATTCGAGTCTTTTTAATTTCCAACAAAATCAATGAGTCAGTCTTAGCTTTCGAATTTTAAATCTAGATCTTGTTCTGTTCACTACACATCCTCCCTTACGTCCTTCTAGGGACAGCGTCATACTTGAGAATTAAAAGCTGTGACTCCTACGAAGAAAATTCAAAATTTTGTGCAGTCCTACAGTTGTACAAACTAAGTTTTTATAGCGAAGAAAACGACGACTTACCTCGTCAAACCAAGCGACAGCGCGTCACGTGTATCCTATGACGGAAAATGTGGCAAAAAGGAAATTACGTACCAAAAATAAATAAATAAATAAAAGTGGCACGTATTCCGCATGACATGCTGAAGACGGAATATGTAAATTAAAAACAAGTCCGTCGCAGGAGTCTCTGTTAAAGCATTTTGATATGCAAAAATTTGGCGCCCTCTCCCAGTTGTCGACGACTAAAAAAATGCTCAGGCAATAAAAGCAGTTGGTGTTCTTGAATCGAGAGGGAACATTGATGTATTTTGTCTACCGCGTTCGTCGGAGAGTGAGTTATTTTTCTGACTGGTTACGTGCATTGCGATTTGTGAGATAGTACCTGCGAATCGAGTTTTCGGCACTTCATTCTGCCCCCGATATTCGAGTCTGAACTTACAGGGATTTATTCTCTGCATTGTGGAAGTAATCTGCGACAAATATTTACTTTGCTTTCAGAACGCTTACAGTTTTTTATTACTCTGAAACCTTTTTGTAAACAAATGTTTTCACTTCAACCATTTGCTGTTTACCGATTAGTCGCCATTGTTTGCACGTCAGCGCGCATGCGCATTACACCAAACAACAGTAAAAGAAAAAATGAATTTAAAAAAAAAAACACTATCAGTTTAACCAGAAATACTGACAAGAGGAGCTGTGATGAGAGTCGTACTGACAAAGATTATGGACCAATAGTTCAATTCTTTTTTTGTGTTCAAGGAATATGTTATATACCGTACCTATGAACACTAATGGGCATGTTCCAATCCTGATAAATACGTTGGACACTATTGAAATTGAGGGTAACATGCTGTATAAGTAGTCCACTGCTAGCAGTGGTTTACCTGCTTCAGGCCGCTGGCGAGTATTGTATTTTGTTGATGTTATAAAGATTACTATTTCATAAATTACTATTTCAAAAACCTCTGTTTCGGTTATTCACCATTCAGTAACTCTTCCTAGTTACAACAGTACATAATTAGGTCTATCACAGTCTGTTTCTATCTATCTATCTATCTATCTATCTATCTATCTATCTATCTATCTATCTATCTATCTATCTATGTTCAGGTTATATACCGTACGTATGAACACTAATGGGTATGTCCCTATCCTCATAAATGCGTTGGACACTACTGAAATTGAAGGTAAGATGTTGTCTAAGTAGTTCACCACTAGCAGTGGTTTACGTACTTCACGCCGCTGGCGAGTATTGTATTTTGTTGATGTTATAAAGATTACAATTTCGTTCCCAACCTCCATTTTGGTTATTCGTCATTCAGTAACCTTTTCTAGGTTTCAACAGAATACAATCAGTTAAGTGCACATGAATAGTGTGCAGTCATCAGAGTATATTTGTTACACACGAATCTTGAAATTTCTCTAGATTGATTCGAGATCAAACCAAGTGTTTTAAATGTATTTTAAGAAATACTACTTAAATATTTCAATTTGCTACTGTATATAAATTTATACAATAGTCTATCAGAAAAAAAAAATCATGAAAATATGAGTTATGTCTGGAAACGATCTAATCTAATTTAATCTAATGTCTCGACTTGTTACGCGGTCAAAATCTGCCCATGAAATCAATCAAATCTTACCCCATGAGCGGACATACGCTGTGAACTTGTATACTGTGTGACCGCAGCATTCAGAATATATTCACATGCATCTGCAGATTTAATTTTTTTTTTTTTAGGTGGAGCTGGATGCAAAACATCGCATAGTCTAGGTGTGTCAGCACCGCTACACGCCACCAAAGTTGATTCCTTGCGAATTTGGGCTTTCTCAAAGGAGTCTTTGATTTCCACACAGAGATTTGGAGAATAGAAAATCTCAAACCGAAAATCCTGTAAAGATTTAGAGTGTCTTCGGATTTAATATTTCTCTCGATAATCTCCCGTCCACAAAAGCGGTCTTCTTTTCTTGGTTGGTCAGCTTTTGAAGATTGGAAAATGACATTGTTCTTTTTGTCGTTAATAACAACTTACCACGAATAACATCTCTCTCCGGGAATTGGCCAGGGGAAGCCAGGAAGCCGTTTGTCCGACTCATCGGCGTAAATGCTACAGACAGGAGCCGTAGACAAAGAGCCTGGCTTAGCATTAATCCACAAGTTTGCACAGATGGAATGAGAGTGGGACAATATATATATATATATATATATATATATATATATATGAAGAAATATAGTTTTAAGGTGTGCTATATTTATGGGATAAAGTAATATTAGAGATAGAGCGTATGTAAATATAAATATAAAAGTGAACATTTGAAGTCAACACTCAGAGGCGACAGGCTGTTTCATGCTGGACGCAATCGTCGGCCTTATTACAGTTGTTTTTCTTTTAAAAAGATACTTGGTCTCATCGGAGGAACACTAAATTATATGTAGATTTAAAGCTCAAAGTTAATATAAATCCAATATGCTATTGCGGTCTAAATTTAAAATATAGATTATAGGTAGATAGATATTGTGAAAACAAAGCAAAAACAGGATGCAAGCTTAAATTTTATATGGTGCATGTTTTTCCTTTGTAAAAAAATTAAGTTAAAAGAATATAAAGCGTAAGGAGGAAGCAATATACTTAAAAAGAGTGGGTAGCCGAGGGGAATTGTAGTTTTGTTTATAAATAATCTATATGTTTCAAAGGAGTAACACTACACACTACATAACGCTAATATTTAATAATATTAGGATATAGACGAGAAATATAAAAAGAGTAGATAGAATATTTAGTTTTATATTTGTCAAAAATAATAAAAGTAGCAAATTATTTATTTTTGCTTTGTTTTTCCAACATCTCCCTACCTACATTCTATATTTTGAATCGACACCCCAATAACATAATCGGTTTATTTTAATTTTGAACATTGAATCTGCGTATAATTTAGTGTTCCTTCCATGAAACCCAGTATGTTAAAAAAACAAAAAAACAACTGTAATAAGTGACCCATTTGCCATTTGTGCCTGACAACTTGGGAAACCATGAAACTTTAAGTTGCACAACAAAGGTAGGTATATGTGTATTGATTAATATATATATATATATATATATATATATATAGTAATCCGTATGGAATTCTCAGGATATAGTTCCAGGGAGAGCTCTATGTCAAAAGACAGAGCAAAATTATTATTAATTCAAAAATATCAAACACTTAAAATCTCATAGGTAATAATTTTATTTGATGAGAACTTTAAAAAAAAAACCTCTCAATCTTCAAGACCTACAAACAACTCACAAATGAAACGGAAAAAATATTCCAGGTTAAAATCAAGGGATATTGCTATTTTATTTAGAAATGCCTTTTTCCCACTTTCTAAATAAAATAACAATATCTCTTGGTTTCAACCCGAAATATTTTTGACGAAAAATGTCCAGCCTGAACGCTTCCCGGAATGCTATTATATTAACCTCTTGAATCAAGGGTCAATCTTTATCTATCTTCCTTATCATTACATTCTTCGAATAATAGAACCCCCTTTCATTTATACCACTCATCTTGTTAAACATTACCCTTGAGATTTGTATTGAGGGGATTCTAGTAATTGTGAGACGTATTTCAAGAACTGATATGGAAATCCATAGAAATTGTGAATAGCACAAGCAACACCAGTGCCAGCGTCACCATGGATCATTGGCCACTGGAAGAAGAATCCTGCTTCAATTATTTAGGATCAACCCTGTCAAAGGATGACACTACTAGCACAGTTTGTTTCTCTCTTAACATTTCATTCTTAATATAGCACCAATTTAATGCCAAACCCCAATTTAATGTCATAAGGTTAATATCTGGGTTTAATTTTATAAAACATCTTCCCTTTAAGATTAATACCTTCCACCCTCCCCTGACAACTGTCTCGTGCCTTTCGTATGAATGAACCATTGATAAATTCTGTATTAGTTTTTCGACGTCTTTTTGTAGCTATCCCAGTTCAATTTGTAATTCCGACGCGAATTCAGTCTATTCCGGGGTTGAATAAGACCGACGAGTTTCATTGGTTGAAATAAGCCTATTCCCTATATGAGGTCAATTTGGTTTTTATTGTGTACCATTTACTCGGTAATGATAAATACATTGAGCTATTTTTGTGGATCAGTTTTAATTTTTATATTACTAGGATCCACTTGCGTTATATACCAAAGGATTTATTAGCTTTATATATATATATATATATATATATATATATATATATATATATATTTTAAGCATGTTTGGTTCAATAATTTAGACGTATTATTTTTATTTTTAGCTTAATCCTTTCGAGTTCAAGAATTAATTTCTTGGCTGTAGAAAATTGATCTAGAAAATTTCTAAAATTTTCTTTCAAATAATTTTTATTTTCCCAAGTATTTTCAAACTCATCTGAGACCATTTTCAGGGATTGCATATCTATGGATTTGTTATGCGCTAAAACCGTATATTTGAAGTAGCGATTCCGGGGAGAAAAATTTCCTGGCGCGACACAGAGAGCCAACTTTCCTCGCGGTGGACGAAGCAATGGACTCAATGTTTTTAAGCATGCACTAATCGAATTTTGGTATCTATCTATCTATCTCAGTCTATTTCTATCTATCTATCTATCTATCTTGGTCTCTTCATATCTATCTATCTATCTATCTATCTATCTATCTATCTCATATTTTTCTCAATATTTTTCACCGCTATGCAAGGGAGGTAATTTATGTAATTTTTAAAAAGATATTTTTTAATTGTAGTATTTTAATTTAGTATTTTTATACGACGTTTTGCTGCTACAAACATTTAAGAACTTTTTTTATTCTACTCGTTGTTGACTTTATTTATTTTGGGCTGAAATTCTCTCTCAGATCTTTCAGAATTTTAAGTTTTTACTTATTGCTATCTTAATAAAGCCCTGCTATATTTTCGACTAATATCTGCCTAAATTGTTCATGTGGTCGTGAGTGTCCTTTTAAATGTCCTGAGATTGAATTATGGCCGTTCCAATGAAACGTATTTTGTTATTAAAACAACGGTGATGACGAGGAGGCTTACTTGAATGATCATAGTTCAATATTTTTTTAAGCATTTCACCCCAAGCAAGGCGGGAAACCACTAGCACTCAAAGGGGTTACAGAGGATTTGGAGCGAGAGCAAAGAGGAGTGATAGAGAAAAGGATGAGAAGAAGAATAGGGGATAGATCAAGGCAACTGGAGATGTCGATTGACATTACATTTGAATAGTTGGAGATTATAGCCATCAGGGAAACAAGAAAAGGGAAGGGAGTTCTACAGGCGAGAGGTGCGAAATATGAAGCTATTGGAGCAGAAGAGGCGACTACATTTAACAGTTTCAACAGTGAAAGGGTGAGAGCGGGATGTCAGCCTCGTAAGATATTTGAATTCACGAATTCTGGGAACCAGCGAAAGCAGCTCATCAGAGCAATTACCATAAATTATTTCTAAAAAAGACAGAGGGAGGCGACGGCACGTCTGTGAGAGAGCGACTGCAGACTATATGCAAGATCAGGGGCAATTACATTGCATATCCGTCTCTGGATCTTATCTAGAACCCCGAGGCAAACAGAAGGGGTTCCAGACCATATATGGCAGTAATACTCCATGCAAGGGCGAATCGTTGATTTGTAGATCTGAAAGATCGATTCCGGGGAGAAAAATTTCCTGGCGTGGCACAGGGAGCCAACTTTTCTTGCGGTGGACAAAGCAATTGACTCAATGTATTTGTTCCATCTCAGGTTAGTAGTCAATATGAGACCGAGCAGCTGCAGAGAGGTGCTGTCAAGAAGTTGAGCGTCAGACATTCTAATGGGGGTCAGGTAAGGATCTCTGTGGTGATTAATAGAGAGCAGTTTTGTTTTTGAGGCGTTAAATTTAATCAGCCAATTCCTGCCACAGTTAACAACCGATTTGAGGTCCTTTTCGAGACGAACGGCCAGATTAGTTTTGTCAGCGACACTAGATTTGCTTTTGAGGCAGGAGTAAATTGTTGTGTCGTCCGCGTAGATGCCAACTTAGGAATCAATGACGTCAGGAAGATCGTTGATCATAAAATAAATGGAATTTGTATAAAACAATCAGAGAGAATGGACAAAAATCCAAATGATCTTACTGGTAATATTTAGTTTCTTCTAATGGAAGTCGTCAGCCTGGCTGTTGACATTGTGTTGTTTTTGTCATTTTCATTGTTTCTACTTTGCACCCTGTCTTATGGCGTTGAACATCCACGCGGCCTACCCAGCAACTGGCAATTGTCACTCCACCAGCTCTCGTCACTCACCTCCCGTCACGGGATGCTCGTAAATTTGTCCTACAAAAAGAGGGATAATAGTCGTCTGCCTCCCTTCCTTGTTACCTCAATTTTCAGAACTGAATGAAAAAGACATGCGGCAATGTTTTGAAAACTGCCCAAGAACGGTGCCACGGTAGTATCATTAAATTTATCGAATATATCTATAGATAGATAGACAGATAGATAAAGAACGTTATTAGATAGATAGATAGATAGATAGATAATGATCAGACTGATCTAAAAAATTAATAGACTGATAGAGACAGAAGTGTATTTAATAGATAGATAGATAGATAGACACATAAATAAAGAACGTAATTAGATAGATAATGATCAGACCGACATAAAAAAATTAATAGACTGATAGAGACGAATAGACGGATAATTAATAGATGGATAGATAAGGAACGTAATTAGATAGATAGATAGATAGATAAAATTGATATCTTTTATCGCGATTGTTTTCAAATGAAAAGCCTCAGTTCCACATAGTAGAAAATGTAATATGAATAAATTGCAAAAGAGATACAGACAGAGATGCATGAATAGACTAAAAATAGATTATATATATATATATATATATATATATATATATATAGAGAGAGAGAGAGAGAGAGATAGATAGATAGATAGATAGATAGATAGATAAAGAACGTAATTAGATAGATAATAATAAGATTGGCATAAAAAAAATTTAATAGACTGACTGAGACAGAGGATAATTAATAGATAGATAATGGAAAGAGTGAGATTGAGCATTTGATTGATTGATTGATTGATTGATTGATTGATTGATTGATTGATTGATTGATTTTGTTATAATAACAAAGATAAGGCTTTGTCTGAATACAAATGCAGAGATGGACACATAATGAAAAAATTGATATAGATAGATAGATAATGAACAGAGTGAGATAGATAGATAGATAGATAGATAGATAGACAGACTGATTTATTGGTTTTGTTATAATAAGAAAGATAACAAAAGATTTGTCCGAATATAAATACAGAGATAGACACATAATGAATAAATTGATATAGATAGATAGATAGATAGATAATGGACAGAGTGAGATAGATAGATAGTAAGATAGATAGATAGTAAGATAGATGGAAACATATTTTGATACCCACGGATTTAGATAGATAAATACAGATAGAAATAAAAAAGAATGTCATAGATAGATAGATAGATAGATAGATAGATAGATATGAAGAGACTGAGATACATTACAGGCAAAATAGTCTGGAACCACGCTCCATTGTTTTTTAAAAAAGCAACTTAAAATGAGATATTTTTGTATGCTTTCAAGTATAACATTTCAGTAACTCTAGTGTATTTGCTTTTATTTTGACAAAATTAAACTCTTAGCTCAAAACCTTATCATACAACATAATCATATTTTGTTTTTGTCAATAAAACCACAAGCTGCATCATTACTGCTTTACAAATTCTTGGCATACTTTCCCAGAGCTTTTGAAGAGAAATTAATGGCAGACTTTCCTAAGCATTCTTCAAGCACTGAAAAAAATCATACTCACTCTTTGACTCTTGTCTTTGAACACTCTTATCCAATTAATCCCATACTAATTCAATCGGACAGATGTTAGAAGATTGAGGTGGCAAAGTCATTATTTCTAAAATGTTATTCCTTTTTTGGCTCGAAGTAATTTTGGTATAGTGTTTTTTTTGGATCGTTGTATTCTTGAAAAGAGAATGTTCCCCAATTATGCGCAAACCAGATGATATAGCATGTACACTATTTACATTATTCGGACTATTGTGTTCATCTTTGTCGCCATATTTATTACAACGTTTCGGCCTTTCAGTATCTGTCTATATTTCTGTGATGAGGTATTATGTACACTATTTACATTATTCAGAATATTGTGCTCATCTTTGTCGCCATATTTATTACAGCGTTTCGGCCTTTCAGTATCTGTCTATATTTCTGAGATGAGATATTATGTATACTACTTACATTATTCGGACTATTGTCCTCATCTTTTCGCCATATTTAGCACAACGTTTTGACCCTTCAGTATCTGTCTATATTTCTGAGATGAGGTATTGTGTACGATATTTACATTATTCGGACTATTGTCCTCATCTTTTTCGCCATATTTAGTACAACGTTTTGACCCTTCAGTATCTGTCTATATTTCAGAGATGAGATATTATGTACACGTTTCGGCCTGAAACTGAAACCTTTAAACTTAACCTTTTATTTCGCTCACTGGGGTAGACTGTTCTAGTTCCACGTGCCATGTTTAATGGATGTCAGTTATCAGTTATCTCATGTTAAATCCCCCCTCCAAGTTCTCCGACTTAATCAGGTATTGAACTCACACTCTTTGGTCTTGTCACTGGATATAACCAAGGCCTTTACCCACTGTACCATATGTCCTTGAGAACATGGCACGCAAGATACCAAGTAATTTTGTATGAAAATCTCTTTTCCTAAGCTTAAAAGTTGGGTTTAGGTCGAGGCTGGAACTTTCAACAGGACAATTATCCGAAGCATCTAAACAAACCCATAAAAGACACGAAAAAATGAAATTTCAAGTCTTGGAACGGCCTAGTGAAAGTCCTAATCTGAACCAAATTGAAAATCTATGATTCAAGTGAAAGAAGTAGTGCATGCAAGAAACCCAGGTAATATCGAGCAATTGTGAGAGGTTTGCCAAGAAGAATGGTCAAACATCGGCACCCACTACTGCCAGAACCTTGTTAAAAAATAATAGAAAAAGACTGGTTGAGACTGAAACCTCAAAAGGAGCAGTCACCAAATATTAAATGTAAGGGTTTATTTACTTTAGCGCAACTTAATTTTAAATTTTGAATTAATATTTTTAATTTCAAGATGATAAAAATTTTGAAAGTGATTGGAACTGATTTAAGAAAGGTTTTTCTTAATGAATAGTCGAATTAAGATTTGTTGATCATCTGGAACAAAGACATTTTTAAAATATTATCTTAGGGGTTCACTTACTTTTGCACAACATTGTATAAAGAACAAACTTCGATAAAATATCATATATATATATATATATATATATATATATATATATATATATATATATATATATATATATAAAAAGAAGAGGTTACAGTAGTTCCAACGAGAGAAAAGTGTTTATATTAAAAACAAGAAAGAAACCGCAAACATTTTTGGTTGTAATGTGGATTTTCCATAATCTTCTATTTATGGAAAATAAAGCATAATATATGTTTAAAATATTCCACATTACAACCAAAATGTTTGTGGCTTCTCTGTTCTTTTAATATATATATATATATATATATATATATATATATATATATATAACGAACAGACTTCGCTAGCAGGATGTCTCTCTCTCCCTCTTTCTCTTTCTCTTTCTGTCTGTCTGTCTCTCTCTCTCTCTCTCTCTCTCTCTCTCTCTCTCTCTATATATATATATATATATATATATATATATATATATATATTGGCCCAATGAGCGAGATGTGACCAAACTTATATAAACATGATAGTCGCTGTGAGTTCACTGAAGGAAACTGAAAGAGAGATCGATAGATCTGAACCGGTTGATATCGACAGATGGTTGTGTCTTGCAGTGAACCACCTTTTCGTCTTGAATACTGTCTTGTATTCCATTTTCTGCAGCGGATCTCCAAGTTATCCGGATTTGCACAGGCATCCGAGCACAACATGCTCGCGTGCTGATCCAGATATTTCTGCCTATAATACCAGACTAAGAACCAAAATCGCCAAGCATTTCCAACCAAGAATTTCTAAAGATTTTTTTTTTTATGGAGAACTTGATCCAAGAATGTATATGAAGATATAAAAGTCTCTTTTTTTTTCTTTACTCGGCTAACCAGGCGAAGAGAGACAAACTTTGTTTGATTTTTACCTAACAGCGCCCAAACCTCCAGTGAAATCCGCCTGTGTACATCCTGACCTTTTTATTGAATTTATTGATCTATTGATTTATTGATTTTGCCATACTTTTAGAAAAAATGGACAGCGAATCCCCATTTATTGTGTACAGTGTCTCTTCAAGATCTCGGTCATGGCCAGCCACAACTTCCTTTCTTTTGTCCTTATTAATGATTAATTCACAAAAAAAAAACAGTTAAGAAAGTTACTTACTGTCGTCCTTTGCTTATTTCGCCTTCCTCATGCCTTTTGGGTGTTAAATTTTCCAGGCCTTCTTTTCTTATTATATATCCTAAAAATTTCAACCGTCTCTTTTGGTGGTAAATGATAAGTTTTCTCACAGTTCGTCTTTTCCTTAAAACCTTCTCGTCGCTCAAATGTCCTGTCAATGGTATTATCAACGTTTTTCTGTGAAAACCATATCGCTACCCTTGGCCCATACACAATGTTTACTCAGTCCCTGCATCAGTGTTGATCTCTACCAACCATGCAATGAGGGAGGCGGTATGGATGGTTTGGAATACCGGGTACTCGGCATGCCACGGAGCTTTAAGAAGAACAAAACAGATACAGTACTTTAACTGCAGCTCCACACGATAACAACATGTGCGACAAGGTGGTTTTTTACGTGGGGTTTGCATCGGTCACCCTCCAAATTGCTGAGTCCCCGCAAACACCGTTATTCTTGCGTCGATACTGCACCGAGCTATTTTAGTGCAGTGAGAAAGATGCAGTTTCATAGATCGATCCTGTTGGATTAGGCATTTCTCAATGCTTTTGTTTGTGACATAGTAGAAAACAGAAACACGACAGAAAAAGGAAAAACAGATACCTCACCTTGATCTCAAATGGTATTTATTCATGGTAGATATATGTGATATGAGGATGTCTTTAATGTTTTTTTTTTTGGTTATCTATGCTCGTACATATGGACTAATGTCAAAAAGTGACCAGCAACCATTATCACATTGTTGTTGGTATCCACCAGCCATCTCTATTTTGTTAAATGTGTGAGGATGTCTTTAATAGTTTTTTTTTTGGTTATCTATGCTCGTACATATGGACTAATGCCAAAAAGTGACCAGCAACCATTATCACATTGTTGTTGGTATCCACCAGCCATCCCTATTTAGTTAAATGTGTGAGGTATTGCCGCAAGGTTGGAATCCCCTCGACAAGACCAAGCTTTTTCGTGATCTGGCAGAAACATGGTAGGGAGATGAATGACATATACTTAATATGAGTCTCCCGTAAGCGTATATAATGGGCCAAAGACAAAAATTGCCTAGTCCCTGTGATCCTGTGTCGGGCTGGCATTCCGTAATCACCGACTCTCCCTCTTTAATTCAACGTGGGAGGTGCTGATGTAGGGCTGGAACCACCTGTCCCACCAGACATCTCTTATAGTTTTTTTTTTCCATTGAAAAGACGGAAAGCAATGCAGAGGTGAAGAACGGATAATATAGTTGATAATTATTCTCTCCCCCAAGGTGGCTGGATAAGACATGATCTTTTTAATGTGTGTTACCCCATGTACGTACACATTGTGCAAGTCCCTGCGACCACTGTCACGCTGATTTCGGTATTTTGCCAACGCTCCCTCCTTAGTGCAACGAGGGAGGTGCTCCTGCAGATTTGCAATCCATGGGACCAGGCATTCGTCAACTGTTCGAAGAGAGGAACACAGCAGTGAGGTGAGAAACATATAATACACTTATTATGTACTCGCTCTCACGAGAGTAGCAGGATATTACGCAAAACAGGTTTAAAATGAGGATCCCTATCGTGCACACAAGGGCTGTCCTTAATTTCCCAGTCTCTGCAAACAATGTCGCACTGGTGAAGATATTCATCCGACCCTCCCTCTTTGGTGCAGTGAGGGAGGTGCTGCAACAGTGTAGGAATCTCCGGACCAGGTATAATTTTTTGTGTGTTCTCTCCGAAGACAGAAACACAACTAAAAATGAGTTAAAATGTAGTGTGTCCGCCCGAAAGAAAGTTTGTATTTACTGGCAGGGTGTGATACAAAGTCATTTTAATGTGGGGTATCCGATCGTGTGGATTCGGGTTAGGTCCTAAAATAGGACAGGCTCCACAACCGTCGGTTTCGCTGGCTTCCGTAAAACTACTGTTACTCCCCTCTTTAGTGCAATCAGGGAGGTACTGACGCGAACAACTGTTCCCCGGGAGTGAGTACCTTTTTTTTTAAGCATTACGCCTCGAGCAAGATTTGGAGCGAGAGCAGATAGGAGTGATAGAGGAAAGGATGAGGAGAGGGATAGTGGATAGAACAAGGTAACTGGGATGTCGATTGACATTACATTTGAATAGTTGGAGATTATAGCTTTCAAGGAAACAGTAATAGGGAAGGGGGTTCCACAGGCGAGAGGTGAGAGGTATGAAGCTATTGGAGTAGAAGAGACGGCTACATTTAAAAGTTTCTACAGTGTAAGGGTGGGAGCGGGATGCCAGCCTCGTAGGGCGCTTGAATTCATGGAGTCTGGGAACCAGTGAAAGCAGCTGATCGGAGCAATTACCATGAAAGTATTTGTAGAAAAGACAGAGAGAGGCGACGGCTTGTCTGTGAGAGAGTGACTGTAGACGAGACGCCAGATCAGGGCCAATTAGATTACATATCCGTCTCTGGATCTTGTCAAGAACTCCGAGGTAAACAGAAGGTGCACCAGACCATATATGGCAGCAATACTCCATGCAAGGGCGAATGATTGACCTATCAATAATATTTTCAGTTTCGCTTTGACCGCAGACAGAGACACATCTGAGTTGTGCGCTATCCGAAGAGACAATTGAGAGATAAAATGTAATTCGTCCGCCACAGTGCGGATACTACACTTTGATCCCAGCCATAAGGCCGAGTAAAGGCTCTCTGACACTGAAAAAATCACTATTTCTCCAATGTCGTTATGGGCGTTTTAATTTGTGTAACTCTTTTCGTTTTATTTTAAATGATTTATTTACGCTTGTTTGCATGCGACTAGAATCAATGATAATATTTAAGCAAATCAAGAAAGGATCCTGGGAAGCCGATGTGTTCTCTTTGATGCGACTGGATGTTATGTAAATTGGACGCAACAGCACAAAATAGTAAGCATCATGAATAAGTAATTTCAGATCTGGTTGTCGACTATTAGTGGAACTCTGAGGTTAAGACAGACTTAATAAATTTCAAAGGCAACCAACAGTACTATCTCCTTAAAAATGTTTGAAGACATGACGCGTCTGCTGACTCATATAAAATATACGTACATATTTAATATATTTTCTATTTATACGTTATTTTAATAGATACAATTTATTTAAGTGAATGCTCTGTTTTTTTTTTTATTATTAAACAGAATTAATTACATTTACCGGCCTGAATGTTCGGAAAATTTCCTAGAAAATGTGCGTTCTCCAATAGGAATACATTTTCAATTCCTGTTGGAGAACGCATATTTTCTACGAAATTTCTCGAATATTCGGTCGGGTAAATGTAATTAATATTCTTTAATTAAAAACAGGGCATTTATTTAAATAAATTGTATCTATTAAAATAATCTATAAACAGAAAATATATTAAATAAATGTTAGAATCAGTTCATTTCATTGTATACGTACATATACATGATAAGGCAAGGTTCACTTCACGAATTTACATCTCTCGTTGCAACATTTGGAAGTCTATATCCACCATCTTTATTTTCGTACCCGAAAGTTAAACACTTTATTTATTTTTTTAATCTAATATTATTTCTTATTAGTATAAACTTTAGTGGGCTACACGTGCTTGAGTTCTCATCCAATTTTTTTATTTTATTTTCGTAAACAGTGAAATTTACGTAATGAAAAACAAACAAATTGGTATTAGTCGCCATCCAATAATATATACAACGGGCATCAATTCCGTTGGAATGTAATGGAAGTGGATCTTAGTAATATAAAATATTAAAACTGATCCACAAAAAGATTTCAATGATTTTTTTTTATCATAATAGAGCAAATAATTAATAAACAATAAAATATAAAAAAAACTTCATATGGGGAATAGACTATTTCGGCAAACGAAAACACCGGTATGGACTGAGTTCGTTTCAGAAATAGAAACATAACTGTGAAAGCTTAAAAAAAAAAACAGTCGATAAACTAATACAAAATTTATCCATTTCAATGTTTCAGTCAGACGAAAGGCACGAGACAGGGGTCAGGGGAGGCTGGAAGGTCTTTGTCTTAAAGGGAAGAAGTTTTTGTTTTTTTTTAAAATTAAACCCGAATATTAACCTTATGGCATTAATTTGGGGTTCTATGAAGAATTAAATGTTAATTTAAAATTAAAAGAGGAATAAACAAAGGTTTAAAAATAACGATAAAATTCCTGGAAAGAGGGTTAGAGTAGAGTAAAGTTATAAATTATAAATAGAGTGTAAAGAAATATAGAGGAGGGGGGAATAGAAATTGTTATACTTTCAACATTTGAAGTATTAGAGTCGAGGGAATATTAGCTAATTAAGTTTAACCTATACTATGGAAATTTGAATTTGTTTTTGTGCACTAATTCATCTCCCCTTCTCTCTCTCTCTCTCTCTCTCTCTCTCTCTCTCTATATATATATATATATATATATATATATATATATATATATATATTAATTATTTAAAAAATATGATTTCAACACGCTACATAAGAGTTCTCATGTTTCAAATCAAGAGGCGAAAACTTCAATATAATTATTTGAATTAAATTGAATTAAAGTACCAAGCTCTGTTCCATCTTC